TCCTCCACAAAATTGTGGAAGTTTGGAGCAATTACCAAATAAGACTGGTGTGAAGATAAGGCGAATTATATTTTATCTTTTGAACTATCACTTACTTTATTCCATAACTAAATAATATAAATTTTTTGTCAAGAATTTATGCAGGTGTTTGAGAAGTGAGTTTTTATGTATGTTTTTTAAGTTGTAGGATATTATTAGATAATTTTTTTTTGATGTTTGGGAAGATAGTTGGGTTTTTTTGTGATTGGATGTGATGTTTGTGAGAAAAAAAGTGAAATGATTATGGGGTTGGATGTGATATTTTTTTGGATGTGTTTTTTTTATTTTACAAAAGTTTGTCTTTTAGTAAAAAAAATCAAAAAATATTTCCAAATCCAAGTTCCCAAACACCACCATGTGACTTATACACAATATCTCAAATATTACAAAATGTCTGAAATAACTTTATTTTCTTCTATTCATGATAGCAGTCATGATACTCATAGTGTAAGCAACTATGATTGCTGATGAGGCAAAAAAAAAATATAAATAACACAAAAAAAAAGGGTAAATTACAAAAAAAAAATCTTTAGAGTTTAGCGTATTTTTCACATTAAATCCTAATATTTTAATTTTAATAATTTAAATCCTGAATTTTTAACCGTGTCCCAATGTTGACTCTCCGTCTGTTTCTATTTGTTTCTGTTAATTTTTTACACTTATTTTATACACGTGTCACTTTTTGATTTGTCCATAAACTAGTGTATGCCCGTGCCTGAAGGCATGGTGCAACTAATGATGAGATTAATAAATGAAAATAAAATTCGTTGCTAAAAACAGAGATGATAATATTAAATTTAAAAGAAAATTGTAAACTAAAAATAGATTGAACAATTTAATTCCTAATAGAAGCCAAACATCACATTAAAGAATATTAATGAGTTAACATTGTGCACTGAAATACTTTGAACAACAACTGATAAAAAATAAAATAAAAAATCAAATAACTCCAACTATCCATTTGGTTTGCTCAAATGAACACACACCGTGAAATTAGATCAAGGAACTGAAATTTAAAAAATAAAAAATAAAAAAATAATTAAAAAGAAAAAAAAAAAACCACCTTGAATGGAGTAATCATGATCATTAAATATTTTTTGAAAACAAAATTAATGGTCAAAAAAATACAAATTCAACCCAATAAAAACAAAGAAAAATAAATAAAATAAAATCCACTACACCTAGCATATCAGAAACATAAGAAAAGATAAAACAATAAAGCACGGACCACAACAACATCTATCCAGCAATGTAACTAAAAAGAGTGAATATCCTCTGTCCAAAAAAAAAAAAAAAAAAGTAAACAATACGGCTATGCAAAAATAAAAAATTAAAATAAAATGGAAACTAACTCAACCCAAAACTTTCTTAAAAAGTCTGATAGCCTCTTACCCTTCATAGATTCAGAGAATATAACCCACAAATGTTTAGAAATTTCAATGTGAATATGGACTTTATTAAACTATATTGTTGCCTACAATCATAGCATTGCATGCGCACAATCAGCATTTTGGATAATACATGCTTGTTCTTTACCAAGATCGACAAAAAATAACAATTAAAGTTGGCAATAAAAAGAAAATTTTCTCCCAGTCCAAAAGAGTTGTGTGCAAAGCCTTCAAAACCAGGCAAAAATGAAAATCATGTTAGAGAAAGTGCATTAATAGCACAGGCTCACAACTTTGCCACTTTGTTGACTGAAAATCGGGTCAATGCAAACAACCATCTATAAGATTTTTTTGGGTCATAAGATTTTCAGCAATGCATAACAGAAAAGAAATAAAGATAAACATTCAGTTATGCGAGGCAATCATGAACTAATTAATTGCATAAAATGAGAAGTTGGGTATTCAAAGCTACATATTCTTATCCCTTCTTTAATTCTGAAAACTACATTTAAATGCATCAGTTGAATGAAGGATAATTACCCAAGCATATCTTAAAGTAATGCTCCCCCATGGAAGGCATTGCTTTGTTTCATTCATGTATCAGCTAATATTAGTATAGGCAAGAGATGTAACGGAAAACATCGCATTACCATCTAATGCCTCCCAAACAGACTTACTTCAACTTGAATTAAATTCGTATTAGGAATATGGATTGAAGAGAAAAAGAAGAGCATCCTAATTAAAATTCCTTCAGCTTCAACCTCCAATGTTGGATTGCTTCACATATCACAAAACCTTTAAATCTCTAAAAGACTGTACTAAATTTAAATGAATACTTCCCCTACTTCTTTTAGGACTGAGACTTCAAATATAAAAAAACTCAAACTTCTATTACTAATAGTTCTCTAGAACTGTACTACATACCCACTAATATTACTTGGCCAAATTAAGGCCCATAACCCACCACTTACAACCCATATTTAGCACATACA